TATATATAGTAAGACTTAATTCTGAAAATCGTGCGACGATATAGAAAGTACTTTAAGCAAGTTTTAGAAAGGAAGGGATTGGTTGATGTAAGCCACATCAAAAAGTAATGGTTTGTTTGCAAAGGTCCTTTTCACTCATGAATTAATCGGAAAAGTAATTGTTTGCAAGTAATTATAGTGTATTCTTTGTCTTCACGGCAAAAAAAAAAAAAGATATACATTGATTTTTTTTTATTCTTGTAAATAATTATTAAATTCATGCTGGTTTCAACACAGAGAGAAAAATGAAGCACAAGTTAAAAGGTTGCAAGAGGAAAAAAAAAACGAAAATAGGAAGGTTTTACGACCTTGGAAAGAAAATAAATACATTCATTGATCTCCAAGTCAATTTTTACACAAAAAAAAAAAATGAACAGTTGTAATTTAACATCTCTCGAAAATAAAAAATTACCTTTCCCAAAAAATCAAGTTAACAAAAGGTGATTTTCAACATCTTCAACATCTCCTTAACATCAACATCAACACGCCATATCGACTTCTCTCTTTCCTTCCCGTCGTGATCACATCATGATCAATAGAGGAAGCTGTTTGTAAAATATATTTAATGAATGTTTTATCAATTATTCAATAATTATATAGGTGGGCTTGATTGAAGTAAATGTTAGATAAGATCTACAAAAAATGTATAGGCATGATCGAAATATTTTTAGTAATAAACAAATAATCAATCCAATTGTTAATTAGTTAAATGCACAGCACTTCGTTTTTAGTAATGTTGTATGTGAAATTGAAATATTATGGAATGGGGTGAAATTCTGATTGGCTAATTTGAATTTCACACATGTAAATTTGAATTTCACATATGTGAATTGCGAATTCACATAATTTCATTTTCACGTACAACAGTTAATAAACAAACAAACAAATCAATTCAATTGTCAATTAATTAATTAAACGCATACACTAATGCTTTTCTTGAAAAGTAAACAAATCAATGGCATAGTAGAAAAAAATTTTTTTTAGCATTTTTAGTTAATAATCAATTCAAAAAAGTAAATAAACAAAAATCAACGGTATGATCTTCATCACACTAACTAAATATTAAAGATGCTTCGCCACCACTAAAAAAAGCAACATATATGATAACAAAAAACAATAATTGACTCAATTGTTGAAATTAAATAGCTCTTCTTAGAATATAAAAATAAAAAGTTCTCTGGGTTGGAAAAAAATATTATTATTATTATTGCATGATAAGTGTTTATCACGTGGAAAAAAGGTGTTAACATTGAAACTGACACATCCAATGAATGCAGTTGTCAGTAAACAACTAGATTCAGGTATCACGTGTTGAGATCTTAAACTTGAAGTAGTTAATTCTTGTTTTTTCAGACATCATTTTTGATGATTATTGTTTTTAGAATGATTTGGAGTTTTTATCATGGGTTTTTTTTTCAATATCTCATTTATATAATCAATTAATATTAAAATAACTGGTTCATGAATATGCGATCTACAACATTGGGTAACCTCCGTTTTACAAAAAAAAATTTTTACCTTTTTTGGCGGAAAAATATTTATTATCTCATCGTTTGCGTCATCATTACGATGATGCAACGGTTCTTTGAACCGATTTTCCCATAATCCAAGAATAAGCCAAATTCGTTCTAACAGGAAAACTTGAAACAAGCCAATTCAATAAATATTGGCGGAAAGGCCAGCCAATACAAAAAGTGTCAGAATTCAACTGATTTCTAACGATTTTGGCTAAACCGTTAGAATCACCAGCCCCATAAAATATATTAGAAGGTATATCAGTTTTTCGCGCCATGTTCGTTTCTATTACTCCAGGTACTATCACAGACACTTTTACATTATCAAAAGATGCTATGTAACGAAGATCTCGTGCAAATGATATTAATGCTGATTTT